GTTTGTCCACTTTCGAATATTTCGCAGCAATGACTTCCTCTTTCTACCTATTCCCTTTTTGCCATCGACTCTACCCTGCATAAGACTGTATTTGATATTCCTCAGTATGTGTCCAAGGTATGCAGTCTTGCGTACTTATACTGTTCTACCCATCCTTCTCAGCACTTCCTCATTGGTGACCCTGGCAGTCCATGGAATTCTTAACATTCTCCGGTATATCCAAAATTTAAAGGCTTCTAGCTTCTTTTAACTTTAACTTTCACGCTTTTAACTCCATGTTTCTACCCTGTACAATAGTTGGAACCAGACGTAACATTAAATAAACCTCAGTCTCAGCGCAGTATTCAGATTTTTGTCACAGAACAATTGCATTGGACTCCTTGCTACTATCATAAATTTGGTCTTATGGTGATAACGATTTCTCCACCAAATCTTATTCCCTCTTTTCTTTCTCATAAGGCTTTTCTGAATATGACCTGTGAATACACGTTGAAAAGCGTCGGAGACAAGACGCGTCCTTGTCTGACCCCTCTCGCAATCGGTGTATTTGTTTCTATATCGTTCACCTTTACTACCTCATTATGGTTCCGGTATAATAGCCTTGATGAGGTGTCATGTTTGTTGCTGAGTTCTTCCAGTTCCTGACAATTCTTGTTAATCCTTAGTCTTTCTGAGTTCATATTTGATTTTATTCTTGATGGTTTTATATTTATTTCCATCTTCATTTTTGTATTTTCTTTTTTCAGTTATTAGCTTAACTATTTCCGATATCATTTAGTCTTTTTTAGTGGTTTTCTCTTCTTCGCCTAGGACCTCTTTTCCCGCTTTTAGGATGGCTTTTTTCATATCTGCCCATTTCACGCTTCCTTCAGTTAATTTATTTATCTCTGCGTTTAGTTGCTGTTGGCAGTTGTCGTCTTTTAGGTTTTTGATGTTTATTGTGGTAGTTTTTTCTCTGGTTTTCTGAGTTTAATGTTGACGTTTCCTAGTAATAGATTGTGGTCCGTATCTGCATCTCCGCTTGGATATGTTTTTGCACTCCATTTCGAAACCTTTTGTTAATCGTTATAAAATCTATTTGGATTCTGCACCATGCACAAAGAGCGAGAATTGATCAACATCATCAAAATAAGAAAGGTCCAATACTTCAGCCATATGAGAGAACCAAAATATCACTTACTCCGGTGTATCATTTAGGACAAAATCGAAGGAAAACGCTGGGTCGGAAGTAAGCGACTGTCCTGGCTGTGTCTCCGTTCGGAACGCGGAGATAAAAATACGGCCGATGCCAGAATACCCTGCCTGTCGTAAGAGACGACTAATGGGAAGGTAATGAGAGGTAGAGAGCCGTCGTTCGAGGTGTCGGGTTTGTAGAAACGCACTCGGAATGCTTAGTCATCGCTGTCACCGGTTTACACTCCTAGTATCCGAGACGAGCATCTCGTGGGACCACTCTTACTCTCATTCCACAAGAGCCAGGTGAGGTTGAACGAGCTGGGCCTGTATCATGGTACAATGAATACAAGAGGTATGATACATAATGTTCCAAAATCGGTTCGCTTTCGCGCATGACGTAGTAAAGACCGCTTATTCCCGCAACATTTGAATGTAGTTGTATAGTAAAGACTTTAAATTTTAAGTTTTTTTTATATAATTTGGCTAATTTAATTATAGTAATTATAAAGAAATGATAAAATTATGTTATTATGTTTAATCATAAATAAAAATAAACGGTGTTTTAGTACCAGTTGAATGTAAGGATATAGCTTGGGATATTTCTTCCACAGACCATACGGTACGAATTTTTGGGTTTTGCAAACGTTTTAATTGTCTCGGTGTAAAAAGTTTTTCTACTGCCGATTTTATCTGAAGTAGTTCAGCTACTTGTTCATTTAAAAGTTTAATTTTTTTCTTTCGAATTTGCAAGTTCCAAAGCCTCATTGGTAGGATTAGTGTTTACCCTAAAAAATTAAGCACATTAGTCTGCATACTTTTAAATAAGTTTTAGAAAACTACCAAGTTGCTACTGGAATTATTATTAACATACCCTATTGACTTAGATGTTGATGGTACATCTTCAATATTAAGTTGATCTTTGAGTGGACTAAAAATATTTTTATTAAGACTAAAACAAGTAGTGAATTGATGCCAGCTACCATGCATGCAGATAGTTGTAATGCATCTGATGTGAGGTTTATTTATCATTTTCTTAGAAAAATCAGTAAGTAATATCCTTTTAGAATAATGTAAAACATTATAAGCTACTGAAAAGAAAAGTATGCTTTTCCTTTCTAGACATCAAAATTGATTGTTTTATGCATTGATATTTTTTATTTTTCATGACTAATATTATTATTAACATACCCTATTGACTTAGATGTTGATGGTACATCTTCAATATTAAGTTGACTACAATATTCTTCTTGAGCTTGAACTTTGAGTTGACTGAAAAAATAACATATATTTTTATTAAGACTAAAACCAGTAGTGAATTGATGTAAACTACCATCCATGCAGATGGTTGTGATGCATTTGATGTGAGATTTATTTATCATTTTCTTAGAAAGATAGGTAAGTAATTTCCTTTTAAAATAATGTAAAACATTATACCTACTGAAAAGAAAATAATGCTTTTCCTTTCTAAGCATAAAAATTGATTGTTTCATGCATTGATATTTTTTATTTTTCGTGACTAATAATTAATAAAAATAAAGATTTAGACTTACTTCGTTGACTTAAAAGTAGTAAGAAGCTGCTCAACATACTTTTTGGACTCTCTGTGTTCGGATGTTTGTATGCGTTTCTTTTGGTTGATTGAAAGGGTAGCCGATTTTGATTTAGGCAAATACAGACTAGGTAATGCCCCAGGTTTGAGTTTTAGACCCTTTTTAGAAACGTAATTTAAAAGTTCCTGTTGTAGATTTCTTTGGTAATCTTCAGTTTTGAAATGTTTAGAACAAATTCTTGCAATATTACAATTAAACTTATTCTGTCTACAACAAGATATTATCCACAGTTTTCTGGTCAAACTAACTTTAGGGAATGCATGAAACCTAAAGATTTTATCTTGATTGTCACTATTGCAACAAGTACCTGCACTGCACAGCGCATTTTGAAAAAAGTATAAAACCAGATATATAAAATGACAAATAAAAGTTTAGTTTTACAAAAAAATACTATACAGTATAAATAAACAGTAACTCAACACCACAAATACACACAAGTCTCAGTCACAGGCGCGCCTTACTGGTAACTTTTTACGCGCTCGTCTGATATACGGGCGATATTAAATTTTACCCATCAAATTTTTTAAGCCCTGCGAAGTGGATATTTGTATAAAGAGACATAAATATGTCAGCATATATCTAAATTATTTTTATATTATCAAATAGATGACTCTTTAAAATATATTTATTATCTCAACCTGCAATTTGCATCGTCACCATTGATATTCCATATTAATTGTCGAACTTTTGTTTTTATACAAGCCTTGTGAGTGACAGTGAATCAGAATACGCTAAATCTACTATTTACCTATTCACAGTATTTCCTCTGTACAAAATTTTTAAATTTCAACGGATTTGTATACAAAAAGAGTGCTTATATTATTAATATATGTATGAAAACAAAAATAAATATTTCGCCTAAATCCCCAGGAAAAGTAAAGGCTTTACGCTACTGAAAATATATTTTTTATTCAATTATAACCAAAACAAAACATTTAAAAAAAAGTCGATCATTTTTTGAGCATAATTTCAAAATTCATGTGTACGTTAAGCTGTAATAATGGGTTGGAGCCATTTCGAGCGGTCTTAACTACGTCACATTCCTGGGCCAGCTGTCAAATGTCATGCGCAATATCATACCTTGTATTCATTGTACCATGGGCCTGTATATACCTCTCACGGCCTTACACCACCGAGAGTGGTGTCGGTGTCCCGACACGTACCCGCCTGGATGATTTAAGAGTGATGCGTCATCTTTTCTTCCCCAGGGATCTCCGGACAGGTGACGTACCCGCAACACAGGTACTGCGGGTAAGGTGGAGCCGCACGAAGTTTCGGCATCGTGCCGCCTTATTTGGTGTCGGACTCGTAGGGGCAGTGGAGTCGCTTACGGTCGTATGCCTTAACCGGCCAGGAAGACCAGGGTCCTGCCAAATCTTTATTTATAGGGTCACAAATCACTTGATGTCCTGGCTGCGTAACATTAGACAAATCGAACGGTCGAGGAATTGTTTCATCTATCAGCCAATCGAGAAACATTTCATCAGCTTGTTAATACAACGATAGCCAACGCTTTAAAATAATCGCGGTACGCAAAGAAAAAGAAATTTGCGTTATATCCATGCATTTTTCTATTTGGGAAACTAACATGTTAAATTTTCAGCCGGTTATTTTAAATTGATTCAGCATACGTTGTAAATCATCTTCACTTTGAGAGTAGTATTACGTCGACTGCATAGCATATTATTTTGTTTTGTCCCATTTTGTTCAAAATATAAAAAGTTATATTTTCATTATGAATTAAATCTTTATTAGTTGACCTCCTACTACAGGTGGTTCCAAAGGAAAAATAACATTGAGCGAGCCCAAGACGGGTCTCGTCTTCTGGAGTTTTGTAGAAATTTGATACAAAGTCAGTGCAAACTCGTTACTTGGGAATTTTTCATGTCGTTTAACACTAATATCATATCGAGTGCTGGCCTCGTCTTCTAGAGTTTTGTAGAAAATCGATACAAAATCAGTGCAAACTCGTTATTCGGGGGATTTTGGGGTCGCTGATGGCGAATATCATAACAGTGATGGCCTCCGATGCCCAAACTTTAAGAGATCAACACTCTCCTGAGCACAAGGTGAGTCAGTCATTGAGTTCCATTCTACTGCAAAAAGTTTGTAGGTTTATTGCTTCATTGCCTCGCCTACAAAGGTTTCACTCCAAATGAAGGTCTCCAGTACTACTTATTTTTCAATGGATCTTTATATTAGAAATACACCATTAGGTTAAAACTTTATTGTTTAATCATAATATAAAAAATACATAAACTTAAACATAAACACTTTCAACTTCATTAAACTTAAAATAATTGCATATGTCAATTTATTATATACATACTGTATTTCCATATTTATATACTTTAAGATATGGGTCATGTTTACACTGCTTCTGTAATTCGATTACTAGAATAATGGCGCATATGGAAAGAATAAAGATAGAGAGCTTAAAATTTTAAGAATCGGTAAAAAATCGAATTAACGTCAAGGTCATCAGAAAGCTTCAGGCGTAGGTTAATGTGTTTTCTACAATTTCCCAATCTGTGTCACAAATTTATATAAAATGCATGGCACATTTTAATCATAAATACGAGAATTGTTTCAGTTTGTGCTATTCCTTAATCCTATTTCACAAACGTATAAGTCATTACTAACATAATAGAAGTAGTTAATCACATACAATATATTGTAATAAAGGCGGGAAAAATTTATATTTCTACTATATTAAGATCCACTTGCACAATTAGACCAATCGAGGAGTTTTCTCAGAAGACAATTCCTCGTCGGAGGAAGCTCCGACTTCCTCGTCTCTCAGAGAAGGAGAAACCCTCATATGAGATTTTTGTCCCAAACAGGCCGGAAGTATTTCAAATAAACATAAAATATAGAACAATTAAAGAAACTGTTTTAAAAATAGTGAATTATCAGTAGTAAACAATTATGAAAAAAATATTAAGACGAACCAAAATCACTTGCGATCCCGTGATGCTCATTCAATATACTCAGAATATACTTTAATCCTTTTATCGTTTAAGATAGTAGGATAAAGCTAACGAAATAATTTGGAAGAGTTCTTAAATCTCTGCTTAGAAAATTTAAAACTCAAGTGGTTACTGTACCAAATGTCTTTCTTTTTTCACTTATAGTAGTACATAGAAAGAATTCCATTCTGAAGCGGACTTAAGCCCTTTTCCGCACCTCATATTAAACTCTTTTTTCTTTCACTCTGTACTTGACTGTGTTTTATTTTCAATGTGTAATGGGATTTTCTTCAGTTGCTTTATTTCCAAGTTTACTCTGTCATCTTTCTTTACTTCCTATTGTATTATATCCAGTCTCACCCCAATGGGAGTAATCTTCACTGGAGTCTGTACAGTAGTAAAGAATTAAGAAATTTTACGAAATAGAACAGAAACACAAAAAATGGGATAAAGTCCGATATGTATTCGATTAAAGGATTTGTTGATTAGAACAGTGGATAGATCGATAAAGAGACTGTTAAATAGAAGCGAGCAAATATGACCAAATATGGAAAAACAAAATGATTAACCAACTGAAATATACATTTTTCAAAACTATTAATTTACATTTAGTGGAACTATCAAAAGCGAAGAACTACCAATTTATCACATTTTTCCCCTAAAATATTTTCTTTGGGATAGTTATCAAATAGTAATAAACAAACAGTTTTTTTAACAATTTAACATATTTTTCACAAACATTGTATATATGTAATATATCTTATCTTCTATACTATCAATATATATTTAAAAAGGTTGCGTCAGCTGACGTCAAAATAAAATAAGCCTCCACCTAGTTTTTATTTAGAAAAATGAGTTACTTTCCTGATTAGATTCCACCAACTAGATCATGGAATCTCAGGATTTATTTGGAGCAGTAGTTCAATTGGATTAAAAAAAAATGTAACATTAAAATTGTAAAAGTAAAACATAGTTTTTTCCACTTTCAAGATTTTCGGGAAACTTCTTTATTACCTGACTGAATTGGAATTTTGATCGATGTATTGACATTGAAAGCAATAAAAACAATATATGATCGAAATAAGACACGTTCAACAATATATGTACAAAACTTGACATAGCACTGGTTTAGTTCAATAGATCCGGATCACTAAGAAATTCGGTAACAGTTCACCAAATCATTAGATCACCAGATTAGTTTTACTTAAAAATACAGTGAACGAAATACAGAATCATTCTGTAACAACTTACTAACATAAACGGCTTCGCCTAGCTTTTATCCATGAATCTAACTACAAAATATTTGCACCCAAACACGATTTTAGAACTTGAACTTCTAAGTTAAAACGGACATGTCATTTTATTTTGTCGTCAGTGAACTTTACCAAGGCACAGCCACAGCCAGTCTTAAGTTCACAATGTATCAAAAATACAAAATAAATAATATGTCAAATATTAAGCAGGTACAATGGTTCACATCTAAGGAAAAACATCATGTTGGACATACTATTTCTCGGTTTAAACATATATATGTATTAGATATCTTAATCATCTACTCTTATTTATTTTGATATAATTCTATGACTGCAGAAGTTATCAGTTGATAACTTTATAATGTTAACATACTGAATTTATAATGGTATTCCAAAATAAAGTTCAAAAAAGGAATAAAAAAATGAGGAACGATGAAAAATGAAATGATGAAAGTTTAGTGATATGACGAACAACAGAAGGAGAATTTTGTTGTGATCTAAAGGCTTCACTATATTTTTGACGAAAATGATTAGTTTTCTTAAACAAATTTTTCCATTTTAGGCTATACAAATGCAATTTACATATATTAATACAAGGAAACAATATGTCCAATCATTTTGATTAAAGCTTTTATACACAGAAGATCCAGCTTGAGTTGACCTTCATATGTTTTTTTCTAGTTAGAGTATGTTGTGCCAATATATTTTAGTAACACTTAATACTTGAACAAATGATATACAATTATAAATCACAATATTTTCAGTTTCAAATAAAAGGTGGTTCTTTTCACCTTATTTTACAAATAAAACTACCAATATCACCATTAAAATGGAAAAGGAGTTTGCCAATATCCAATCTAAAAACGAAGTGCCCAAGACAATCGAGAAATAAAGTATCAGCAGATATCTAATACGACTTAACAACAAATCCTCTGGCATAACGGATTCGCAATTGGTATATGGAACCAAAGCATTGTTTGTAGCATGAACATTTTCCTCCACGTGGGATATTCCTGGCAAGTATTCTTCATGTGTGGTGTTCAACTCAATAGTGTTGTCGGTAGTATCTAAAACAAAAATATGTTGTTTACAAAACAGACTTTAGTAGACACTAAAGTCTAAGTGTAAGAATTTACTAAAATTTGAAACGGAAAAAACAAGAACTTTAAATATTTTCAAAAATGGTTTTAAGTAGTTTATGTGGTGGCTTAAGGCTGACAATGAAGCTCAGAAATAGTATAAGATGTCGACAATTACGCTATAATAAAACTGAGTATAATGTCCACTGTTTTTTTCAACAAGAACTTGAAGGTTTTAGAAATAACAATAAGTTCTACCAGAAAACCCAAGTTCACGTCCACAAAAGCATGTTGCCGCGTAGGCACTGGGTACATAGCGTACAATGGATTTATGTTCTGTAGGAGACGTAGGTGGCACCCATCGAGCAAAAAGACAAAAGAGGGAATCTAATCGTTATGAAAAGGAGACCAAAAAAGTGGCCTCTGATGGCGAACATATCCGGAAATGCGACTGAGCCAAATTTAAATTTTTCGACACTTATTAACAGTATCTACAAAATAGTTTTCAGAATCTGTTTTAGACGAGAAACTTTAAATAAATATTAACGATAACACGATTTCATGTGACAGTTGGGACAAACAATAACATAACCCAACTCAATTTGATTTCTTAAACAATGAAAGACTCTCTTTCCTTGTTTAATGTGGCCTCTCAAGATGACACTTCCTGTTTAACAATATTTTTGCCCCACTACCTTTACATTCCCTCTTTTGTCTTTTTGCTCGATGGTGGCACCTCTCGTGTCTACCAGGGAATCGGGACCAGGCAATTTGAAATAATTCCTTTGTTATAAAATACTCTGTTTATTATTAATTTATTTAAAAAATTCTTTAAAATTTAGTTATTATAAACTCTTTAAAAAGTTATTTAAAAATTTCTTAATTTAGTTATGACACACATTAATATTTCACGTGGCTTACATAAGTAAAAACTGCTATGTAGCAGAATGCGTGTCATATTATACTATAAACACGACCCCCTAGAAGGTATATATAAATTGGATATTATCCATTCATTCATCATCACCCAGCCCTTTGCGTCCACTGCTGGACATAGGCCTCCCTCATTTTTGTCCATTCTGCTCCATCTTGAGCACTTTTCATCCAATTTCTTGATATTTTCTTGAGATCGTCAGTCCAACGAGTAGGGGGTCTTCCTCTACTTCTTTTGTCTAACCTCGGCATCCACTCAAACAATCTCTTCATCTACCTTTCATCACTGATTCGGGCGACGTGTCCGGCCCAGTTCCATTTCAGTATGGCAATTCGGGAAATTACATCGGTAACTCCTGTTCTTCGTCTTTATTTCTAGCTCGGTCACAAAGCGATATACTCAGCATTGATCTTTAATTTTCCTCTGAGCTATTTGCAGCGTTTTAGAACTTGTAGCTGTCAATGTCAAAGTTTCAGCACCATAGGTCATCACGTGATCACGTCAAGTTTATTTTTCTTAGTTCGCGTAGTTCGCTTGTTTGGTTGTCTCTTGTGATCTTTCTTTCGTGTCCCAGATATATGTATTTTTCAACCAGCTCTACTTCCTTGTCTTTAATATTGATATTTCCGCTAGGTACTAGGTTTGTCATGAATTTTGTTTTGGAGATGTTTATTTTAAGACACACACTGGCACACACTAACATTTCTTCACGTAGCATTGTACATATCTCCTTGAGGTTGTCCGAGAACAAAATTACGTCGTCTGCGAATTTCAAATTTGTTAATCTTATACCATCAATGTTCAGGCCTTTCTCTTCCCAGTTAAATTTTAAGTTTTTTACAAGCATAATCCACAATATCCATTCATTATGGTTGATATATTCAGAATCGTCGAGTATACGTAGACTTTTCCGTAATATAGTCAACACACTTAGAAATGTAGCTGACTGGAAAAAAACGTTTTTGCTAAATGTGTTAATTTGTCTCCGAAAGAATAAATTAAAATATCACACATGCATTGGATATCTCCCATACTCAACAAGGGGGAAAACCAAACACGAAAAATTCTGACCCTTCAAGGTTAGGGGTTCTGGCGTTGGATTAGTTCTGGCGTTGGATTACCTACCCATCAGCAGTAAAAACTTTGCCAAAAATCTCAATGAGCCTCTCAATCAATACAAGAGTTATCTATAAAACAAGAAAGAAAGGAAAGGGTACTGAGAAAATAGTAAAACACACTCACAATAATAAAGTGGAGTCTCCATAACTGTCCAAGCAAACTTAAAAATAGCATTAAAAATTAGGGAGAAATAAATGAAGGAATTATAGAACTTACAAAAAATGGACACTACATAATAATTATTGCGGTATACGCACCAAACCATGACGCTGACGCAAAAGTCAAAGACTACTGCTACGATAATTTGAGAAATATTGAAAATATAAGCTTTCAAAAGGAAATATTTCTCCTCGAGGACTTTAAAGGTAGAATGGAGATGTGTGACAAAAGTCTAATAGTGGGCAAGTATGGAGAAGACACCTTGGGCTTATAGTGGGCAGATATTAATTGACTTCTGTGAATTCTTCTCTTTAAAGCAACTATTAACAATTTTAAACAGTTTCAACGCCCACAAGCGTGTACACAAATATACATGGATACAGCTTACTAGGAAACCATAATAGACTATGTCATTCAACGTCAAGATCCTTTTATAAAGACAAAATATGTAAGAGTACATCGGGACCATGAATGTAGATCGGACCACTTTATAGTGAAAACAACTTTAACAGTACCACATAAACACTCCCTAAGGGAGTCACAAGATAATTGTACTGATCAAAAAATTGATAACTAGGTATAATCTAACATTGGGAGAGATCATACCCAACATCGAAGGACCCTTCATTCTGTTGTGTAATCGATCGTCCTCTTGCGCTTGTCTGGAGTTCTGCAGTTTTAACAAAGGCGTACAGAAAGCAGCTCACCCGAGTAGATAGGAAGAGTCTATTGAGGGAGGCGTGTGCTTACAGAACAGTCTCTGCCGAGGCGTTAGGAGTTATCAACGGGTATATTCCGCTGCACCTGCTAGTGAAGGAAAGAGAAAGAATATACGAGACAAGAAGAGACATAGCAAGATAACGTTTAAAAAAAGAAGCTAAAGTTCCATAATGGTGTGGCAAGAGGAATGGGATGAGATGAGAAGGGTGGTGCAGTGGACGAAGTCGTTGATTCCTAATCTGAGAAGATGGATGGATTGCGGGCACCGGCGTTTGGATTATTTCCTGACTCAGATGCTCACAGGACATGGTTGCTTCAGTTGAGGCATACTTTTACAGATTTGGAAAGGCAGAAAATGCCTGTATTGTGAAATATCGGACACTGTCTCACACACTCTATTGGTATGCGATAGATGGATAAGTGAGAGGAGCCTGCTTGAGAGAGAGCTAGGAAGTAGGGTGCAATCAGTCACGGAACTAGTGGAAAAGATGCTTAGGTCGTCAGATCGGTGGAGAGCAGTTCCGAGATATGTGAGGAGAACATTGGAAAGAAAGGAACAATAAGAAAGGCGACCTAAAGGTAGGCAGGGTGCCCAGGACCAAGCAAGAAGATAAGGCGGAATGAGAAGGGGTGAGATTGAACATGAACAGGGAGGAATAGAGGGAGAGAAGAATTCCGTCGTAGTGAAAAAGTGCTAGAATGCGTGAGAATTGTGCGTGAATAAAAGATCTGATCAAGAGGAGTCCTGCATAACCGAGACTGGAAAGCAGTTCTGCCCACCTTCTAGGACCGAGGTATGTTTCGAACATTTGGAACACCCTCGCTCACAAAAGAACAAAAAAAAAAGGTATAATTGAACAAGTTTAAGACAACTATCGATAAAATTTTTGAATAAACTAAGACTTGCCAAAACTATAGTCTGTACAAAATATCGCACCCGTCTAGGAATACATCTCAAAAATTGTAAATATGAGTTTATTACGCCACTAAACTCGAGTTTGTGAGTAAGACAGAGTAAGAGTTGTGAAAGACAGATAATATTGCTTCAACGGTCGACCGGATGATGGCGCTTGTTACACTTTTGTCATTGTGGGAAAAGCCCACCCCTTAAGGTCGATTCAGACACATCAGTCCCGTCACAGTCTCGGCGCCAAACTCGGTCCTGTTTGGTCACAGAACTATTAATTATCTGACGGCTGGGAAACTGTTCGTCGCCTGATGAATGTGAATGCTTCATATTTCTATTAAAGAATATTTTGTATGACGGATTGTTCGGTTCGGCGCCAGGACTGTGACGAGACGTGACTGATGTGTCTGAATCGACCTTAAGACTGCCGGACAATTCACTCAAGCTCCTTTAGAAGTTACGGTGTTTCGCGCATGATTATTATATATTTTTAGTTTATTACTGAAAAATGACAGTGTTTCGGAGACAATTATTATACAATTATACATTTTTACTTTGATATTTAGAAGTAGCGTTGTTTCACGGACAATTATGGTATATTTTAGGTGGGTTGTAATAATAATAATTATTATCATTTTGAATTTGTTATTAAAATGTGTGTCGGTCAGATAGCTCAGCGGGCTGTGCGGCTGCCTCTCATTCGCTTCACTTTCGAATGGTTCAGTGGATGTGGAATCGAGCCCCAGCTCGGTGTACAGAAAACAAAAAGTCTAACGCAGCAGTTTAAAATTCTAGATGAATCTGCGGCTTAGACTAGGATATGCTGGATCTGATCGGCCTATGGTGGAGCAGTACGGCAAGAGATATGGGCTTGCGGCTCGGTGATACTCCTCCATAGATCCCTACCGGACGGGCGTAACGCCTAAAAAACCGGATATATATATATATATATATATATATATATATATATATATATATATATATATATATATTAAAAGGTGTTCGCGAAGTGCAAAACTTTTAGAGATGGTTAAACTTAAACCGCCAAATCAAAAACTTATTGTCCCAAAAATAAAACACGATAATAATACAACAGTAAAAGAACAGTATTCCGGTAAAGAGGGAGATATTTTGACACAGCTTCCTTTCGAGACAATGTTTTCACGACTATTAACCAGGACACACTCCGAATTTTACAATCAACATTTCCTGATGAAAATGTTAAACTTGTAGAAACATCAAAAAATGATTCCAAAGTCAGTAAAAATCAAGTGAACGAGCCATTATCGTCCTCCAGCTCAACCAGCGGTTCATCATTCTCCTGCTCTTTATTCCGATTTCGTATATGATTTTGATTACAGATGAAGGAAATGAAAAAGATGTCTCCGTAAAAAAAACAAGAAAACGACGAGCGAACGCCAAATGTTGCAAAAGAAAAACACGAAACATACGAAAAATAGTGCACTTCTAAGTCTACAAAACAACTTGTTCCTTCAGGAAAAAATGGGAGCAGGATGTACAAAATGTATTCATAAATGTACGACCAAAATTTCTGAACACGAACGTTTTAATCTTTTCCAAAAATATTGGGGCTACGGAGATGTGCAAAACCAGCGAGATTTCATAAGCCGTCACATTAAGACATTCCACCGCTTCTCCAGAATAAAACAAGACTCGAAAATGTCGCATATTATTTTTAAAATAAGAGGAAATGATATTCGTGTGTAAAAAGCAAGCCAAGTGTTTGATTAAGGGGCATACCCAAAATGAAGGGGATAACCCACACTCGGTTATCGAAAAAGAAATTAGACGAAGTTTAAAATCTGGCGGCATTTATGTCCCCTCTCAATATTTTCAAATTATGAGAACAGCAAAGAGGAGCACTCCTTACTTTGAGGTCAACGAAATGAGCCATCAGTATTTTAATGACTTCAAAGCTTTTGAACATGAGCTTGGTGACAATTTTAGGAAAAACGAAAAAAATGAGAATTTACCATTTTCTGATATCAAAGTTTTCACAAAACAACCCCTTCAAATTTTTGTACAAAACATCCTAAATCGCTGATAACGTTAAAGAAATAGATACATTTAAAAACGAACTCCAAAAAAATACAAGATCAATTGCAATTACCTTGTCTGTGCAAGAAAGGAAAGAAAAAATTCAAAATTGGACCGTAAGAAAGCGTACAATGCGCCCATTCCCATAGCCCCAAACAAAAACAAAAATATATTTCATGTACTCGGTGGACAATAACTACGTTAAAAGAACCTACTACGAATTTTATAATAGTCTTAGGGTATAGGACAAAATTTGTGATGATTTTCAAAACTGCATCACCATTTTTAGAAATGTGTTATTTTTGTACCTTAGGTTTTTATTTAAATTACTCGTAACAAACGACTAAAGTTACTTATTGAAAGGTATGAAAAAATTTTATTTTGCCATTTTTTAGAATATTACTGTTGTTTTTGTTTCTCAATTTATATTCATAATAGTTTTTATGTTTTGTTTATTTGTTTACTTAAAATAAATTAATTTTTAAAAAATATCGTTAAGTTGTTCTCGCTTTATTACATAATTCAATGACAGAAATGACTACTATTATTTGATCGATTCCCGTAATAACTTAAAAATAAAATAAAGTCGTTTTAGAAACACGATAATATCCCAAAAACAAAATAAATTCATTCAGAGAATATTGTAACAACTACGAAATTTGAAATCAATCTGTAAAATTTTATCATTTTTGATTAAAAGACAATTAACTAATATTCATTAGCAAACCAAGAAAAGAATAATTAACACTTTAAAATAAAATTCCGGTTAAAAATCAATAACAGTAACTATTATACACCTTAACTAGAAAAACAAAATCTTTAACCTTCAATTGTCTAAAAACTTTTTGGAGATGTTACATTATTCCGTGACGTGTGCGATATGGAATACTGCCGAGTATCTGTTGAAAAAATAAAGTTAAATATTCATAACGCAGCAGAAGAAGCATTCGGTAAACTTGACAATGGCAAAATTCGAAACCCGGAATGGTTTGACAATGATTCCAATACGTTAATAAAAGATTTAAAAAGAGCGTAATGAAATTTGGCTTGAAACGTGAGACGATGAAAATCGAAGACAATATGCTAGATAACAGAGAATTCAAAAGGGAAGTAACAAAAACAAAAATCAGTTGTTGGAGATAAAATGTGAACAGTTAGACACACAGATGGGCGGTACCAATATAAGAGAGGTCTGTAAACTTATCAATAATTTAACAAGAGACACAAGCGAAAATGGCAATACACAAATAATAAATCTCCATGATTGGAAAGCTCGTTACGAGATTTTATTGACGGAAAATAGACAAGAATTCGCATGGAGAAAAGAACAGTTTGCATAATAAAATACTACAATGGAAAAAATTACAATAGAGAAATCTAAAAAGTCTTACAAAAAATCGTACAAAAAATGGAAGAGCATCAAGTCAGAGAAATATTTCAATTGAGCTGCTAAAATATGGCCCGGATATGCTTGTCGATGTAATCGCTAAACTGTCTAATAAATTTCTCTCAGGAGAACCAATACCCAACCAGTGGAATTCAGCAGATGTAAGCTCGATACATAAAAAAAGGCAACAAAAAATATTGCTAGAATTACCGTGGTATTAGTGTAACGAGTTCAATAGGAAGACTATGTGGAAAGGTGCTTAAAGCAAGAATAAAAGACAACCTGGAAGGAATTGAAAAACGGAGTGGTTTCCGAGCTGGAAAATCCTGTATTGATAATATATTAGAAATTAGACAAATTATAGAATGAATGGAACTATTTTTATTAGATTGACGCAAATTCTCGTATTCGTTGACGATATAGTTATAATGGGTAGAAATATGAGAAACATGATGCAGTGTTTTACAAGGTATGCGGAAATATACGTTTCGCTTATAAAAAAAATATATGTTGCGTCGGATACCCGAAATATCCAACAGAGAATTTAAATTAACAACCATACCTTTGAGCAAGTCAAAGAATTTACATATCTTGGATCGCTAGTAAACGCAGCAAACAAGAAAAGCGACGAACTAAAAAGTCGCATAGCAATAGCAAACATAACTGTTTACGGGCTCCAGAAACGGTTAAAAAATAAAAATATAAGACGTGCAGTAAAGCTCAATATATACGACCTTAATAAGACCGGTTTTGATATATTGGGCTGAAACGTGGACCTTATCTCAAAATGATGAAAGACTTCTTGGTATATATCTTAGTATATGGTCCCAAAGATTTTTGGGACCGTAAATGAAAATGGGCTATGGCGTCGATGATACAACTTTGAACTATATCAATTATACACCGATCCAGATATTGTGAAATTCGTGCAGAGACTTAGGTGGGTTAGGCACATTGCTAGGATGAATACACGAAAAGTTTAACATTTTTAAAACCAGAGGGCACACGAAGTAGAGGACGGCCACGAAGGAAATGGATTGATAATGTTGAAGAAGACCTACAAATTGCAAGGGTCAGAAGATGGAGGAAAGTTGCCAGGAATCGACAGGAGTGGCAACTTCTTTGTGAGCGGGCAAGACCCACAACGGATTGTCGAGCCACTTATGATAATGAAAGCTTATGATAATGTGCCCCTAATAAAATTACTTGAAAAAGTATATTTATAGTATACATTAAAATAAGATAGCAGTGGTAAAATTGGGCACAAGAACATCAGAATTTTTTACAGTGAATAAAGGATTGAGCCCGGGTTGCTGCTTTTCTCCAACTCGTTTTCAAATAGACATTCAGGGAGCACTAGGTATCTGGCGCAGGAAGTGTTACGGAAAGAGATGAAACAAGACACTCTGTACACTTTACTATTTGAAAATCATGAAATAATTATAGCCAACGATGAGGAAGATATATGATTTATGATGATGAAACTACTGGAGGAATATTGAAAGTAGGGTTTGGTTCGGGAATCAGCAGCTAACATAGAAATAGAAGGCCATGAAATTAGAACAAGTCAGGAATATACACATCTAGGAATCGTTATATCTTGTAAATAAACGTCTGATAGAGATTAACAGAGTAGAATATCGAGAGGGAAAGTAGCAATCCAAAGACTACATTCAATACCTTTGTCGATAAAAATTTGGCAACTTAGCAAGACAAATAAGGAGAAAATTAAGACGGTCGAAATGGAATTACGTCAGAAGGACGGGGAAAATATCAAAATTAAACAAACAAGAAATTACGACATTAGACAACAAATGGGACTGAGAGGAAAGCTTACCGATAGAATAAAAACCCAAAAGCTTATATAGTATGGACACGTGGAAAGAATGAGTCACAATAGATGGCCAAACAGGGGTTAAAATATTATACTGCAAATAGAAGAAAAATAACATATTTAATGTATAATCTGTTACGTATAGTATGAAAGATTTTTTAATTTTCATAAACGCCACTCCTGTATCAAAACTTTTACACTAATACTTTCAGTGTTTGTAAATTCTTTTGAGGGTAATTTTTAAAACATTTCCCAATATGTTTATTTTATATAAAAAAAAATACAATAGCTTACCTGTGCTGGTTTCTACTAGTTGGTTATCGAATTGTACATCCTCTGAAGATAATGTAGATGGTGCTTGAATATGTACCCCTGAGACTGATGGAATTTCATTTGTAGAATGATGTTCATATCTATCAATATTTGCTTCAGTTACACTGTGAGAACTCATACTGTAGGTTAAGCCATCAGAGTGCTCACGGTTATATCCATTTTCCATGTTATTTTCGTTTTGTGTATCAGACATACCGTCATCGCTGTCGATAACACCTATCAAATAAAATATTATGTAATAGTTATAATAAGTAACCATAAATAATAAATGTTAATTACATCAAATAGCGAAATATTGAACAATAATACTCCAGTCGTCAGAAAAGAAAATGCCACTGAAGCACTAAAAATCGTACGAAGAAGCTGAATTTTTATAGGAATTTTGGAACCCCTAAAAAGATGCAAGAAAGTTTGCCACTCTTACCATTGGGCTTCCCGTAAAACTCCAGCTTGAGACGAGCAACCCGAGTTAAGCTTTCGTAGGCAATTTTAGACCGGGCCGCTCTACTATTGACCAGATATTCACATTAAAACAGATAATGGAAAAATGCTGGAGTTTGATCGTGAGCTTCATCAGATGTTCATACATTTTAAACAAGCATTTGATACAGTATGCAGGGACAGACTGTGGACAGCGATGCAGGAACTTGGCTTTCCAAAAAAAACTAGTCAGGTTGATACGGATGTGTATGGAACGGTTACGATGTAAGGTGAGAGTTAGACAACAATACTCGGATACATTTGAAATAAATAATGGACTAAAACAGGGAGATGCACTTTCACCACAACTCTTCAACTTAGCTCTGGAGCACATAATCAGAAGTACAAGAATCGAAAAACCTAATACAGTATTTCATCAAGAAGGACCAATCTTACTACTGGCATTTGCAGACGATATCGATCTAATAGGAAACACACGATTAAGGATGAAGGAGACTTTCGTGAGGTTCGAGAAGGAAGCAGAGAAGATGGGGCTCCAAAGCAACGAAAACAAGACGAAATATATGTATATGAGCCGCAATAACCAAAGCAGAGACAGAATCGGTCAGAACATCACCATCGATGACTTTAACTTTGAGCGTGTTAGAGAATTCAAGTATCTTGGAACAACAATAACTGAAGACAATAACGGATCACAAGAAATAAACAACAGGATTCAGGCAGGCAACAGATGTCTTTTTGCCCTCCAAAACCTTATAAAATCAAAACAACTAACACGACGTACGAAGATACAGGTCTATAAAACAATCATACGACCCGTTGTGATGTATGGAAGCGAAACGTGGAGAATAACAAAGGCAAACGAAGAGAGACTATGTGGGAAAGAAAAATCCTAAGGAAGATCTTTGGTCCTGTGCTGGATGAAGCATCAGGACAATATAGGATAAGAACTAACAAAGAGCTCGAAGAGCTTTACCCAGACGCCAACATCATAAAAGAAATAAAGTCCAGAAGACTCCAATGGGCAGGACACCTCAGAAGACATTCTGACGAACGAACAGTAAGACTGGTGTGGGAGGAAGTCCCAACTGGAAGTAGACCACGCGGACGCCTTTGTCTCCGGTGGCGAGATATTGTAGCCGGAGACCTAAGCACTATGGGCGTGTAGAATTGGATGAAGGTTGCTCAAGACAGAAAACAGTGGAGGCATGGGTTGTAACGCCACGGAGTAAGTAAGTAAGTAAGTATTATAGTACGGACATGTGGAAAGAATGAATCACAATAGATGACCAAACCGGGGGTTAAAATATCATACTGCAAATAGAAGAAAAAGCGTGCGTCCAAAAATAACATATATTTAATAAATATGTTATGTACAGTATGAACGATTTTTTAATTTTCATAAACGCAACTCCTGTATCAAAATTTTTACATCAATACTTTCAGTGTTTGTAAATTCTTTAGCGGGTAATTTTTAAAACATTTCTCAATATGTTTATTTTTATAAAAAAAATACAATAGCTTACCTGTGCTGGTTTCTACTGGTTGGTTATCGAATTGTACATCCTCTAAAGATAATGTAGATGGTGCTTGAATATGTACCCCTGAGACTGATGGAATTTCATTTGTAGAATGATGTTCATATCTATCAATATCTGCTTCAGTTACACTGTGAGAACTCATACTGTAGGTTAAGCCATCCGGGTGCTCACGGTTATATCCATTTTCCCTGTTATTTTCGATGTGTGTATCAGACATACTCTGACTTTCAATAATAGTAGGTTGTATGATTGTTTCATTTTCATTAATTTCTGACAGCACCAGTGGTGTATCAGACAATTGCGACCAAATGCTGGCACCGTCATCGCTGTCGATGACACCTATCAAATAAAATATTATGTAATAGTTTTAATAAGTAACCATAAATAATAAATGTTAATTACATCAAATAGCGAAATTTTGAACAATAATACTCCAGTCGTCAGAAAAGAAAATGCCACTGAAGCACTAAAAATCGTACGAAGAAGCTGAATTTTGATATAAATTTTGGAACCCCTAAAAAGATGCAACAAAGTTTGCCACTCTTACCCCTGGGCTTCCCGTAAAACTCCAGCTTGAGATGAGCAACCCGAGTTAAGCTTTCGTAGTCAATTTTTGCTATTTGCTGCATATGAGGTATGTTTGTATAAAGCTGTTAAATAAACGTTGCGCGATTGTTGTTATTTTTTTACGATTTTCATGAGATCAATAACGTTTATCACTTCCATTGACCGGTCACTATGGAATTTCCATTCGGAGAGTCTAATCTTCAAAAAGTATAACATGAAATTTCGATTTTGAGTTATGGTAAAATATGGAGGCATTTGAACTATGCATAAAAAACACTGAGTTTAAACTTTCACATTACAAACGATCTAAAACGTTTTTTTTTTCAATTGCACAAGTACGTTTTTCAAAACTACACAACTTCAGCTACAAATTTTTCCCAATACCTTCTTCGTGAAACCATTTCGCGTGGCGTGAGATCGTTTGTAATGTGAAAGTTTAAATTTAGCGATTTTTAGGCACATGTATTTCAAATGCCACATATTTGTTGCCAAAACTCAAGTCGAAATGTCATGTTATAGGTTTTAAAGATTAGGCTCTACTAATGGAAATTCTACAGAGACCGGTTAATGAGTGATAAATTTTATTGACCTTATGAGAATCATTAAAAAATGGCAAAAATCGCGCAACATTTATTTATGTGACAGATTTATAGAAACTGGCTTAATTTACGGCAAAGATTTCATAAGCAAGCTGCATTTTTTACCTTTAAAACTCATTTTAGGTTTGGTCGATAGGACACATTTTTGTGAAACATTTTTTTTTCATTTCTTCCCTACGCTGGAGGGGGTAGGGGTTTAGGGGAAAATCCAGTAGTAGGGGTGGTAAAGTTTTTTTGCATCTTTTTGGGGTCCCAAAATTAACTTTCTCAGTTCGTATGCTTTTTAGAGGTCAAATCTCTGACGACTATAAAGGCAAAACAAAAGTTGTTTCAGGCCACGTCTAGAGTCGCAATCGGTTGGATTTGATCGTAGTAGTGATGGTACCATAATCATTTGCGTTTTTTACATTTCTGTAAGCCTCTAGCTTTAGAATTTTAACAATTTAACCCCCGACCGTAACTGGAAGAATTTGAAGAGGTTATGCATCACGGCGTTATCCTTGCTGGGAATGTGGCACTGAAGACTACAAGTAATGAGTGCGAAATAGAATAAAACTGCTCAACTGTCCACAACTGTATAATCCTTTAAGCAACTGTCGAAGCATAACAAAGTAACTATTGTTATTGATGTCATGATATAAATTGTTGGTAACGAAATTTCTGAAAGTTTTGCTAAAGAAAGAGCCAGTAATTGTTTTATCAGACCCATTCTGCGGTATACCAAACAAGCCACATACTGAAAGATGTCAAAAAATTGGAAAATCAAGTTAGTGCAGTCTACTGGAAAATATTTCAGACCAAAGGTAAGCAAAGTTTACTAAAACCTTTTACCATCTACGCAAACACTTACGAGATTCAGAAAACTAAACTCATGGACTGCTAAAGATTCACACAACAGGAATTTCTCCCTAGACATTGCTGAATCAAATATCATATCTGTAAAATGGGTAAGTGAATGAAGAGTAACATGCAAATGCCTGCGAAAATGCACAGGAATTCCTGACATATACGGATAATGGTTAGCCAACACTATAAATAGGTATTTTTCAAGTTGATCAGGTACAAAAACATCTCCTATACGGAAAGTAGACTTTCTTAGAAGCCAAGGGCCTCAAACGCAGTTGAAGATAGGTTTCTTAGACTAAACGTTCTTAGACTCGCAGATATTTATGGTACCATCGTTTCAACTGATACTATATGCAAAAAATTAATTGAACAAAATTTATCATCTTATGTATGTACCTTCTACAGGCTCTTTATTAGACGCAACTCATCGAAGACAACGCTCGGAATTCTCTCGAGTTCATGCAGATTGATATAAGGAAGGTAGGTAACACATTCTGTTTACAGTCTCTTGTTAACACATATTCACCTAATCGTCGTTAAAGAGTGTGAAAAAGGCATGAAGAAGGATATGCTCAATGTTGTTTCTCTCCTAGAGTACCGTTTGGTTGTAGAGGTAAAATGGTATGGGGCGGCATTTCTTTGGAAGCACTTACAGATATTGTTATGTTACAGGGGGAGGTGGCTTTAATATTGACAGGTACATTAGGGAATGTGTGGAAGAACATGTAGTAATTTATATGCCTTTCGTAGGTGGAAAGTTTATCCTAATGCAGAATAATGATCGGCCGCACATAGCCAGAATACAAGGCAATAATTTACAGATGTTGGTATTCGAGTACCAGCCTGGTCTAGAAGTCCAGACCTTAACCCCATACAGCATATCTGCGACAACTTGGAAAGAGTAGTTAGGTAAAATTATGGCGAGTTTGAAACTGTGGTGGCGTTAGAACACGCGCTGAAAAACGAGTGGGAACAAATACTGCAAAGTGAGATTACTGCTTTGATCCAGTCGATGCCAGAAAGGATGAAAACTGTTGGAACATAAAATAAAAAAAAATAATTGGAATTAACATTTATCTAACACTTTTTAATTTCACTTCATATAAACTTAGTTAATTTTAATCAAGTCAATTAATCCCCATATTATACATGTCTCTTCAATCTATCTCTCACCATGTGTTTGACCTTCTACATTTCCCAGGAATTTTGTCATCAATTGATGCCACATGCCCTAATAATCAAGTTATTAATTCTGACTTCTGTTACTCCGTCTATCTATTTAAGCATTCATATTGCTGTACAATGCATTTTTTGTTCTTTTTGCGGTGTTCAACTGCCCGATAGGGTGTGCCGTAATGTTGCTCTTTCTCTTTAACTGCCAAACCAAAAGTGCTGAAATTAGAGCTCCTTTTTCTGTTTATATTATTGTCTTTTCAGTAACATTCGAATTTCTGTCATTCAACACATCACTCGCTTTCTTCCATTTTATTTATCTCGCTGTATCTATATACATACATATTTATTTCACCATCCAAAATCATCATTTTATCTGTAGTACCTATTAATTACCATCGAATGAACTTTCTAGATTATTATATTTTTGTCCAAGGTCTGACTCTTTTTCCTTAAAAACTTGTGTCCACTGTTCCAGTCTTGGTGCTCATTCTCTTTCATTTATTTTTAATAACACTAGGAGTGATGATGTGATTTGATCAGTTTCATCAGTTGGCCTGATGACGCTGATAATGTGGTTCTCATTGCAAGAAATGAAAAATAACTGGCAAGTATAGCAAAAAGAATGATTCGGGAAAGCTCTAAAATGGGACTGAAAATTATTATTAATATATCCAAGTACATGAAAATATCGAGCAAAAAAGGAATAATTAAATTAGCTGTGGAGGATGGATCAGTTGTAGAATTCGAGAAGGTGGATGAATATATGTACTTGCTACCCTTATTAATCAGACATGTAAGGAAGAGACTGAAATCAACCTGACACTCGCCAAGAGCAACAGATGTGCTGTTGTGCTGATGTGCACAATGCTATACGCTGCCGAGACATGGACTATAAACAAACCATACAAAACTGATTGGAAGCATGGGAAAGAAAGATACTTTGCAGAATGTTTGGTGGAAAAGTAGTAGAGGGAGCATGGAAAAGACGAACTAATGTAGAAGTGTACCAATTGTATGCTAACCCCACAATAACAAAATTAGTGAAAAAACATAGACTAGAATAGCTCGAACATCTAGAAAGAATGCAAGGTAATAGACAGGTAAAGAATATTGATTGGAGAGCACCTGAGGGCAAAAATAGAGAGGAAGACCAAGAAAAAAATGGGAGATGTAGTGATGGAAGATGTCAGATCAGAGATTGGAAGCTGACAGCTAAGAACAAATAACGATGGAAATTATCCATCCAACAATGAGCCTAAAAGGCCTGTTAACGCTATACATATATACATCAATTAGCCAACCTAAAAACTATTTACTTTCTTCTATTATAAAACATTTGTTAGAATGAATATATTGCAAACTGCGTATGAAAGTTTGATAATAAATGAGATTTTGAGGTTATTAGAAGAATACATTATGAGATCATTTAAAATAAATACATGTTGTTTTGACCTGTAATGAATCTAAATACGAGTTTGTTAAAATGACCACTTTTCAAATTTCGAGCGTACATTCAATATTAACTTTTTATTTCTTGTTATGTACGTCCCCAAGATATGTTGGAATTATCAACCATTTTGCTACGAATGATAATTTTGAAACCTTATAGGTGCAAAAAGATTTGCCAATCCTACCACCGAGCTTCCCCCTAAAACATCCTCTTGGGGGGGGGGGGTGTGTACCGCACTTGTAACAACTAATGCTTTGCCTTGTCTCATCCTTACATTTCTGATGATTTTGATCACGTTTAAGACTTAGGCCCCCTAGAGACTTCGGTTATTTTCACCGAACAATGGACCGCGCTTTTCACAAGATTCACAGTGTTGCTAACTCTATAATGAATATGGGTACATGCACCGGATACCTGTTCGGTGAACCACTTCGCCTGATGCGTTTAGGCGTATATCCGATGTAAAAAGGTGCAGTAGGCTACGCTAAAGTATCGATGTGTATAGATGCTCGTAAACGTATGTGTCGCCCGATGAAAAAAACGGATGTCTATAAGAGACCTAACTTAACTTAATCTGTTTTCTTGTTTAGAAAACACTTTTTTTAATTCTGCTTTTATTCTCCCTATTTATAATATAATATCATTTTATGTCAATTCCCTTGTGACGATATTTAAGAATAGGCGTCAGTATGTAATATGCTCCGTAAAAAAGTAATATTTGCTTACGTGGATAAGTTCCAATTTCTAGGCTTGGAATATAAAATGCAGCATCGTGTAAGGAGTCGTTAATTTCTGCTACACTTTTTACTCGCAGTCTAACTTTATTTTTACTGGCAGTAGAACTCAAATTATCAAGACACTTCTTTTTCACTGCTTTTTTCTTTCTATTTTCTTTTTGAGCGTTTAACTTACTCTGTATTTCAACCTCACCATTATTTGTAGGTGTGGTAAGCATTTTACGTAGTTCTATAAAAGAATAATAAATACATAAAAACCTGTTTTTCATTGAATAAAAAAACAACTGTTTTTCATTGTCGCTTGGTAACTAAATAAAAAAAACAATGATTATACCAAAAATTAATATTAAAGGCAATATAAAAAAAGCCACGAAAGAAACTCATTCAAATATTATTATCAAACAGCAAATTATCATTATCCATAAAAATAAGATAGCAGTGGTAAAATTGGACACAAGAACATCAGAATTTTTTAGAGTGACTAAAGGATTGAGCCCGGGTTGCTGCTTTCCTCCAACTCGATTTCAAATATACATTCAGGGAGCACTAGATATATGGCGCAGGTAGTATTACGGAAAGAGCTGGAACAAGACACTCTGTACACCTTACTATTTGCAAATCATGAAGTATTTATAGCCAACGATGAGGAAAATTATCATTTATGATGAAGAAACTACTGGAGGAATATTCAAAGTGGGGTTTGATTCGGGAATCAGTAGCTAACATAGAAATAGAAAGCCATGAAATTAGAACACGTCAGGAATATACACATATAGAAACGGTTAAATCTTGTAAATGAACGTCTGATATAAATACGCAGAGTAGAATATCGAGTGGAGAAAGCAGTAATCCAAAGACTAAATTCAATATCCTTGTCGACAAAAATTTCTCAACTTAGCAAGACAAATAAGGAGAAAATTGAGACGGTGGAAATGGAATTACGTCAGAAGGACGGGAAAAATATCAAAACTAAAACAAACAAGAAATGAAGACATTAGACAACAAATGAGACTCACAGGAAACATTACCGATAGAATAAAAACCCAAAAGCTATTATAGTACCAAAAATTATAAACTCCGCCGTTGCCTGGTCCCAAGTTCAGGATGAGAAAGGAGGAGAGTTAAGTAAGGGTCTAACTATTCCTTCTTGTAAAAAAACATAGTTATGAAAACGAAGCACATGCCTCGGATAAGGACGGATCTTTTAAGACGACAAAAGCGACGACAAATGACAATGAATATAGGAACCTCGAACGTATTAAGCCTATATCGGCCTGGAGCCCTAACTCAGGTGGTCAGAGAACTTAAATCCAGAAACATGGGCATACAAGAGATTAGATGGACTGGAGAAGGTACACTAAAAACTAATAAATCAGTAGTACTTTTCAGCGGAAGCGAACGGGAACATTAATTCGGCACTGGTTTTATAGTCAGGGAAAGTCTTGTGGGGTCAGCTTTAACTTTCAAACCCGTTAATGAAAGACTCTATTATATCAGACTCAAAGGACATCTGCATAACTATTCCCTAGTTGCTGCTCATGCGCCGACAGAGGAAAAGGAAGAGCATGTAAAAGATAACTTCTACGAGAAACTAGAGGAGATGATAAATAATCTACCCAAACAGGCCATGCATATTATCTTAGGAGATTTCAATGCAAAGATTGGGAAAGAAGCAGCGTACAAACCAACAATAGGTAACCATAGTCTTCACGATGTCAGCAACAATAATGGAACAAGGTTAATAGACTTTGCAGCGTCCCACAACCTACTAATAAAATCGACAATGTTCGAACACAAGAAAATACACAAACAAACATGGGTCTCCAACGACGGCGTCACAAAAAATCAGATCGATTATGTTCTAGTAGATGCCAAGAGGGGTAGTAACTGTCTAGACGTAAGAAGCCTACAAGGAGCTGATGGAGACACGGATCATTTTCTGGTAAAAGCGACGATAAGGACAAGACTAGCGTCCAAAAAAACACAAGAATACACCAACACAATTATGGAATACCGAAGTTCTACGAAATAAGGAGACAAAACAGAAATTTCAAAAGACTATAAAAATCGCTCTAACACAGACAGAAGACTATAACAACATAGACTCAGCTTGGAAAAATATCAAATTAGCTCTGACAAGCGTATCAGATGAAATACTAGGACACAAAAAGAAAACAAAAAAAATGGTTCGATGATGATTGCCTGAACTCCATAATAGCAAGAAATATGGCTAGAAGGAACATGCTACAAAACCCCTCTCACAACAACAACGAAATATAAAGACAAAGAAGAACAGAGACAAGAAAACTAATGAAAAGGCAGAAGGGAGAGTATCAGGAACAAATAATCAGAGATATAGAAGAAAAAAGAAAGAATAAACAAGCGAGACAGTTCTTCAAAGGAGTTTTAGATATCAAGACCGGGTACCAAGCAAGAACAGGAAACTTCCTTCAAAACGACAGTGGAGAGCTTATCACGGATGACAAGGAAATCCTAAAAACCTGGAAGGAATACTTCTATTACCTATTGAATGACCAATCTAGCAGAAATACATCAAACATAAATGTGCATACAGCTGAAATAGAAGACCAATACCCGACATACGAAGAAGTAATAGAGGCAATTAAAAAAAAAATAATAAGACACCAGGTAGCGATGGTATACCCGCAGAATGCTTAAAACATGGAGGAAAAGCGTTGTGTATATATATATATATATATATATATATATATATATATATATATATATTATGTATATATATATATATATATGTATATATATGTATATATATATATATATATATATATATATATATATATATATATCCGGTTTTTTAGGCGTTACGCCCGGTTTACCGTCCGGTAGGGATCTATGGAGGAGTATCACCGAGCCGCAAGCCCTTATCTCTTGCCGTACTGCTCCACCATAGGCCGATCAGATCCCAGCATATCCTAGTCTAAGCCGCAGATTCATCTAGAATTTTAAACTGCTGCGTTAGACTTTTTGTTTTCTGTACACCGAGCTGGGGCTCGATCCCACATCCACTGAACCATTCGACAGTGAAGCGAATGAGAGGCAGCCGCACAGCCCGCTGAGCTATCTGACCGACAGAAGCATTGTACAGTTCTATATACAAGCTAATTCAAGACATTTGGCGAGAAGAAACAATGCCAGATGAATGGAAAGGGAGTATTGTACTAATGCACAAAAAAGGAAACAAAAAGCAATGTATTAACTACAGGGGAATAACACCCCTAAACACCAACTACAAAATCTTTGCAAACATCCTGCTAGAAAGAACCAAAACATACACAGAAGAAATCGTTGGAGATTATCAATGCGGATTTAGACCGGGCCGCTCTACTATTGACCAGATATTCACAATAAAACAGATAATGGAAAAATGCTGGGAGTTTGATCGTGAGCTTCATCAGATGTTCATAGATTTTAAACAAGCATTTGATACAGTATGCAGGGACAGACTGTGGACAGCGATGCAGGAACTTGGCTTTCCAAAAAAACTAGTCAGGTTGATACGGATGTGTATGAAACGGTTACGATGTAAGGTGAGAGTTGGACAACAATACTCGGAGACATTTGAAATAAACAATGGACTAAAACAGGGAGATGCACTTTCACCACAACTCTTCAACTTAGCTCTGGAGCACATAATCAGAAGTACAAGAATCGAAAAACCTAAAACAGTATTTCATCAAGAAGGACCAATCTTACTACTGGCATTTGCAGACGATATCGATCTAATAGGAAACACACGATTAAGGATGAAGGAGACTTTCGTGAGGTTCGAGAAGGAAGCAGAGAAGATGGGGCTCCAAATCAACGAAAACAAGACGAAATATATGTATATGAGCCGCAATAACCAAAGCAAAGACAGAATCGGCCAGAACATCACCATCGATGACTTTAACTTTGAACGTGTTAGAGAATTCAAGTATCTTGGAACAACAATAACTGAAGACAATAACGGATCACAAGAAATAAACAACAGGATTCAGGTCGGCAACAGATGTCTTTTTACCCTCCAAAACCTTATAAAATCAAAATAACTAACACGACGTACGAAGATACAGGTCTATAAAACAATCATACGATCCGTTGTGATGTATGGAAGCGAAACGTGGACAATAACAAAGGCAAACGAAGAGAGACTATGTGGGAAAGAAAAATCCTAAGGAAGATCTTTGGTCCTGTGCTGGATGAAGCATCAGGACAATATAGGATAAGAACTAACAAAGAGCTCGACGAGCTTTACCCAGACGCCAACATCATAAAAGAAATAATGTCCAGAAGACTCCAATGGGCAGGACACCTCAGAAGACATTCTGACGAACGAACAGTAAGACTGGTGTGGAAGGAAGTCCCAACTGGAAGTAGACCACGGGGACGTCCTCGTCTCCGGTGGCGAGATATTGTAGCAGGAGACCTAAGCACCATGGGCGTGTAGAATTGGATGGAGGTTGCTCAAGACAGAAAACAGTGGAGGCATGTTGTCGAGTCGGCTAAAACCCACGAAGGGTTGTAACACCACGGAGTAAGTAAGTAAGTAAGTATTATAGTACGGACATGTTGAAAGAATGAATCACAATAGATGGCCAAACCGGGGGTTAAAATATCATACTGCAAATAGAAGAAAAAGCGTCCGTCCAAAAATAACATATATTTAATAAATAATATGTTATGTATAGCATGAACGATTTTTTAATTTTCATAAACGCAACTCCTGTATCAAAATTTTTACATCAATACTTTCAGTGTTTGTAAATTCTTTGGCGGGTAATTTTTAAAACATTTCTCAATATGTTTATTTTCTATAAAAAAAATACAATAGCTTACCTGTGCTTGTTTCTACTGGTTGGTTATCGAATTGTACATCCTCTCGAGAATATGTAGATGGTGTTTGAATATGTAACCTTGAAACTGAGTCATTTGTGGAATGATGTTCAGTTACACTGTCAGGACTCATGTTGTAGCTCAAGTCATCCGGGTGCTCACTGTTATATCCATTTTCCATATTATTTTCGTTTTGTGTATCAGACATACTCTGACTTTCAATAATAGTAGGTTGTATGATTGTTTCATTTTCATTTATATCTGACAGCACCAGTGGTGTATCAGATAATTGTGACCAAATGCTCGCCCCCTCATCGCTGTCGATAATACCTATCAAATAAAATATGTAATAATTTTAATAAGTAACAATAAATAATAAATGTTAATTACATCAAATAGCGAAATATTTAACAATAATACTTCAGTCGTCAGGAAAGAAAATGGGCCACTGAAGCATTAAAATGGGCCACTGAAGCATTAAAAATCGTACGAACAAGCTGAATTTTGATGAGAATTTTGGAACCCCTAAAAAGATGCAAAAAAGTTTGCCAGGGCTTCCCGTAAAACCCCACTCCTTGGGAAGAAAAGCGGAAAACATCGATTCGCCAAGAATATGTACGTCGTAGAAAAAAATGTTTCAAACAACAGATTTAACAGAGATGATTTTGAAAAAACTGTTTATTAGCACTTTTTCTGTAGAATGGACCGTTCTCTCAGAAACAATGCTTGAAGCGAGCTGCGATTTTGAATGTCAGTTAAGCGTGCGAAATAATTTTTTTTAAATAAAATTTGTAAACTTCGTAAAATTTGTATCAACTCTACGGTAAAAATTCGATATATTTTGATCAGAGTGTCCTATCGACAAAAAAATGTGTTTTAAAAGTGAAGAGTTGTGTTTTCGTATGCAATTTTTGCTATTTGCACATATAAAGTATGTTTGTATAAAGCTGTTAAATAAACGTTGCGCGATTTTTGCTATTTTTTACGATTCTTATGAGGTCAATAACGTTTATCACTTCCATTGACCGGTCACTATGGAATTTCCATTCGTAGAGTCTAATCTTCAAAAAGTATAACATGAAATTTCGATTTTGAGTTATGGTAAAATATCGAGGTATTTGAACTATGCCTAAAAACACTGCATTTAAACTTTCACATTACAAACGATCTAAAACGTTTGAAACTTCTTTTCACAAGTACGTTTTTCAAAACTACACAACTTCAGCTACAAATTTCTCCAAATATCGTCTTCGTGAAACCATTTCGCGTGGCGTGAGATCCTTTGTAATATGAAAGTTTAAATTAAGCGATTTTTAGGCCTACATATTTCAAATGCCACATATTTGTTGCCAAAACTCAAGTCGAAATGTCATGTTATAGGTTTTAAAGAAGATTAGGCTCTACCAATGGAAATTCTACAGCGACCGGTTAATGAGTGATTAATTTTATTGACCTTATGAGAATCATTAAAAAATGGCAAAAATCGCGCAACATTTGTTTATGTAACAGCTTTATAGAAACTGGCTATATGAAAGTTGCATTTTTTACCTTTAAAACTCATTTTAGGTTTGGTCGATAGGATACATTTTTGTGAAACATTCTTTTTTTTTTCATTTCTTTCCTACGCTATGAGTGGTAAAGTTTTTTTGCATCTTTTTGGGGTCCCAAAATGGACGTTCTCAGTTCGTATGCTTTTTAAAGGTCAAATCTCTGACGACAATAAAGGCAAAACAAAAGTTGTTTCAGGCCACGTCTAGAGTCTCAATCGGTTGCATTTGATCGTAGTAGTGATGATGGTACCATAATCATTTGCGTTTTTTACATTTCTGTAAGCCTGTAGCTTTAGAATTTTAACAATTCAACCCCCGACCGTAACTGGAAGAATTTGAAGAGGTTATGCATCACGGCGTTATCCTTGCTGGGAATGCTGCACTGAAGCCTCTGAAGACTACAAGCAATGAGTGCGAAATAGAATAAAACTGCACAACTATAGTCCTTTAAGCAACTGTCGAAGCTTAACGAAGTAACTATTGTTATTGATGTCATGATATAAATTGTTGGTAACGAAGTTTCTGATAGCTTTGCTACAGAAAGAGCCAGTAGTTGTTTTATCAGACCCATTCTGTCGGTATACCAAAAAAGCTGCATAGTGGAAGATGTCAAAAAGTTTGGAAAAGTAAGTTAGTGCAGTCTACTGGAAACCATTTCAGACCAAAGGCAAGCAAAGTTTATTAAAACCTTTTACCCCCTACGCAAAAATACTCTTACGAGATTCAGAAAACTAAACTCATGAATTGCTAAAGATTCACACAGGAATTTCTCCCTAGACATTGCTCAATCAAATATCATCTCCGTAAAATGGGTAAGTGAATGAAGAGTAACATGCAAATTACTGCGAAAATGCACAGGAATTTCTGATATATACGAATAATTGTTAGTCAACACCATAAATACCTGGAACAGGTATTTTTCAAGTTGATTAAGTAAAAAAACTTATCTTCTATTTGGAAAGTAGACTTTCTTAGAAGCCAAGGGCATCAAAAGGAGTTGAAGATAGGTTTCTTAGACTAAACGTTCTTAGACTGGCAGATATTTATGGTACCATAGTTTCACCTGATACTATATGCAAAAAATGAATCGAACAAAATTGATTCTCTTATATATGTACCTACTACAGGCCTTTTATTAGACGCAGCTCATCGAAGACAACGCTCGGAATTCTCTCGAGTTCATGCAGATTGATATAAGGAAGGTAGGTAACACATTCTGTTTACAGTCTCTTGTTAACACATATTCACCTAATCGTCGTTAAAGAGTGTGAAAAAGGCATAAAAAAGGATATGCCCAATGTTGTTTCTCTCCTAGAGTACCGTTTGGTTGTGGAGGTAAAATGGTATGGGGCGGCATTTCTTTGGAAGCACTTACAGATCTTGTTATGTTACAGGGGGAGGTGGCTTTAATATTGACAGGTATATTAGGGAATGTGTGGAAGAACATGTAGTAATTTATATGCCTTTCGTAGGTGGAAAGTTTATCCTAATGCAGAATAATGATCGGCCGCACATAGCCAGAATACAAAGCAATACTTTACAGATGTTGGTATTAATACTAGCCTGGTCATAACCATACAAAACAGATTGGAAGCATGGGAAAGAAAGATACTTCGCAGAATGTTTGGTGGAAAAGTAGAGGGAGAATGGAGAAGACGAATTAATGTAGAAGTCTGCCAATTGTATGCTATCCCTACAATAACAAAAGTAGTGAAAAAACGTAGACAAGAATGTCTCGGACATCTAGAAAGAATGCAAGGCAATAGAAAGGTCAAGAATATTGGTTGGAGAGTACCTGAGGACAAAAAAGAGAAAGAAATGTTAACTGTTAACGCTATACATACATACATCAATTCGCCAACCTGAAAACTATTTACTTTCTTCTATTACAGAATATTTGTTAGAATAAATATACTGCAACCTTTGTTTAAAGGTGCGAGATTCTAACAATATACAAAATGAGATTTTGAGGTTATTAGAAGAATACATTATCAGATCATAATAAATATACTGGTTTGGCCAGTAATGAATCTAAATACGAGATTTGTTAAAATAACCATTTTTTCAAATTTCGAGCGTACATTCAATATTAACTTTTTATTTCTTGTTATATTGGTACGTACGTCCCCAAGATATGTTGGAATTATCAACCATTTTGCATTTTTATTTTGTTTTTGATAGATATAAATAATCCAATCGTAAGATATTTGATCTAAAAGAACGAGACGAACAAGCTAACTTTTGCTACCAATGATAATTTTGAAACCTTATAGGTGCAAAAAGATTTGTCACTCCTACACCCGAGCTTCTACCGTGGACAAAAAACGTTTAGTAAAGTACATTCGTTCAGCAAATTCCCCAACTGTCAACAAACGCACGTGTTATTCGCCCTCTCATTCTTCAAGAGAATCTTCTCTTCTTCATGTACCATGTCCTTTCAGAACGTTGGTTACCATCATAGCTATTTTAATTTTATTCACTGCCACCCTAAATAGCATGCTTGTATCTACACCATACCAGTCTCGCAAGTTCTTCAACCATGAGGTTCTTCTTCGTCCTGGACTGCGTTTGCCTGCTATTTTTCCTTGCATGATATTTTGTAGCAATCTATATTTGGGACCTCTCATTACATGTCCGAAATATTCCAGCTTTCTCTGCTTGATGCTTTTTATGATCTCAGTAGTCTTGCTGAGACGTTCTAGTATTGTGGAGTTACGAATCTTCTCCACGCAGGAAACTTTTAAAATTCTTCTATAGCACCACATTTCGAAAGCCTCAAGGCGATTTAGATCGATTTTATTCACAGTCCAGGACTCGACAGCATAAAGTAAGACCGAGAACACGTAGCAGCGAAGTAGGCGGATCCTTAATGCCAATTTTAGGTCTCTGTTACATAACACCTTGGACATCCTTCTAAAAGCAGCTCTAGCCTGCTCTATTCTGAATCTAATTTCGCCGTGATTTTCTGCATTACAATTTAATTGCTGTCCAAGGTAGACGATTTTATCAACTTGCTCAAGTTTGGTATTATTTACATATATAGACGGTTTTATATTATGTTGTTTACTTATTACGAGTATTTTGGTTTTCCTTATGTTAAGATCCAGACCTGCCTCCCTACAACTCTTAACGACACTATCAAGTAGTGTTTGCAGATCTTCTTGACTAGAAGCTAGGAGTACTGTATCGTCCGCATATTGCAAATTATTGATGACTTCGCCGTTCACAAGTATTCCTTCTTGTTTTTCAGAAAGTGCTTTTCTGAAAATTCTTTCGGAGTAAACGTTAAAAAGCAGGGGTGACAAGAGGCATCCCTGCCGTACTCCTCTTTTAATATTGAGAGCTTGTGATTCCACACCATCTACTAAAACTGATGTTGTTTGATTCCAATATAAATTTGCAATTATTCGAACATCTCTGCCGTCCAAGACAATGTCTTTCAAGAGAATATTAAATATAATTTATTCCCTTAAGCCAGACGGATTCTCATTTTACAAGTCCAAACTTCTGGATTTTAGTTTAAATCTTTTTGTTTAAAGTCTGTTTAAATTCAAATTGTAGCGTGTGGGTTTTTAAGTTAACATATTGTAAATTATATGTTATAGTTATTGTTAAGTTATTTACTGGTCATGTTATTTTTTACAGTTTGGTTTAACTGTTTAGTATTAAGTTTTATAGTGTGTAGTGAACTTTTAGAATCCAAAAACAAAGTATTTGTTAATCAAAATTAAAAATAGCTTGCGGTAATCACTTTAATGAAGGTAAGAGAAACCAATATTT